CATGCGTGCTGTCTAACATGGCGCAACTTGCACGCAATTCGATTGGAAGAGCGCAAATCCATCCCACGGTGTAATCCTTATGCCTTAGCTTCGCCTGCCGTATCTCCTCGCCCCTTCCACATTCGTTATCAGAGCTCTGTCCTCTTTGTCGTTTTGGAAAAGGGGGTCTAGTGCCATCGGAGCTGTCTTCGTGGAGGTAGCTTCGGGTGCGTGGGACAGTCTGTTCGGGGCGGTACGTCGACATAGGGTATCGTGAGGCCTGATCCGCGCGAACTGGGTTGCAGCATCCAGGGCATTCCTGTCCCAAAATCAAGTTGACCTCGCCGATCAAGTTTGTTGGCTGAGTGTTTCATCGATTATGAATAACTTCGAAGCGGTACGTACTAGTGATTTGCAAAAAGGATAGATAGTCAAAATAAATGGAAAGTAGAAGTCAATTTTTCGCAGATGCGAGGCTATGGTGACGGAGGGTTGTCAATTCCCCACCTGAGGCGCCAAGTTCTCGGCCGTCATCACGGGGTTTTGAGAGGCAGGGGGGTGGTCTCTGACGTTGATCCAACCAACGAGCTGGGTTAGCCCAATATGCAACTGGAGGAGCCCAATCATCGATGGCCATGGAACAGGGGGGGCGCTGCAACTCATCGCTTCCAGCATTACTACAAATGTATCGATTACCAATAAACTTGTGAACTGTTTCCGATGTCTGAGTAGACGGCCCGACTGCATACTTACTCAAATGAAAACGAGTTTGCGGTCTATTACATACCTTCCTTGGAGAAGAGCAGTCAAGAGTAATCCTTTCCCATCGCTATGCCTTTCGATGCATGACTGTTGCTCCCGGAGTTCTGCCAAGATCGTCTGCAAAACCTGCTCTATCCTCAAACATGCTGGTCTCAATCGGACCGAGTGAGAGTTTCCTAAGTGATCTCATTTCAAAATCTTCGTCTTTCGTCTTGACAGGCTCTTTCGCTACCACATGGATCATGCGAGAACCTTTGACAATGCTAGCCTTGAGCCCCGCCGCAACCTGGACCATACCATCAGCTGTATTGAGAGATTTGGAGCTCGCATTGAATAAAACGTCTTTGCCGCTCGAGTCCAGACGCGCGTTGAAGAAAAGCGCCAATAGGCTTGACAGCCACACACCGACATCCTTCCTGCGCGTTTCCACGATTGTGGCAGCGAGGAATAGGGACGTCAACACGAGCATGGTTGCGGGAAGGGCCAGCCACGCCCAGCGCACAACGACGAATTGCTGCTGAATCCAGACGTGGCCTTGAACTGTGTGTTCAGGATTTATACTGGATTCGTTTCTTCGCATCTCATTTGAATGAAAGCTGTTACTGGAACAGTGAAGTTGTTTCTTCTGTTTGGCGGAAGACCGGGAAGTTGAAATACTAAGGTGTCCGGGAAATCGTGTATGTAGACGAAGTACTTGCGTGCGCCAATTTTTCCACCTTCATTCAGGAACTGGAGATTGTTGGGTTGTGTGATCTCCTGCAAGACTTCCTCTGAGTATACACCATTTTCTACTCGCGGAAGTACCTCTTTGGCCGAAAAGTAAACAGCGCAGCGGCGGGCCTCGATTCTTGAGTTCTGACCGAGTAGTTGATAAGTAGTCGAGGTGTCAACCGACGGGTCACTAGGCCAAACCTTTACCCAATCAACGAGAATCATAGCCGCTGTCAAATTGAGGAATGGCTCAACATATGACATATTCACGTCTGCGGGAATGTTGGATGTAAGGTAAAATATGCGATACATGTCTGATCCGGCCCGGTCGAAAGTTTTCTGAAGCAAGGGGTCACCCGGTGCCTCGAGGTGATACTCGGTGTTGTTATCCATACGTTTCTCCACGCGCGATGATATATCAACGCATTTGGAGTTCACGCCGAGCGTGCCAAACGACTCCCAAGTGCAATTACCTGTGGGACAATTCGAGAGTGGTTGAGGGGGTGATGACTGATCTGGGGCAAATAGTCCTGCAAGGATGGCGGCTGTCATGTTGTATGGAAGTTGCTGGACTATAAAATTCACTGGTTAGCGGTAAGCCAGATAAGAGAACTGCTTAAATTGCATACAGGCGTATTGGGGGTAACTCCAGCCCAACGTGCCTTCGCCCCAGGAATAGGCCGCCACTGCGTTAGCGCTGGGACTGAATGCATGGTCGATGACGGATCGAAGCTCGTACGTAACACTTTGTTGGATAAAGGGACCCGAAGCGAATGCGATTAGCGTTATAGCAGCACCAATGCTTGCGTAGTGCCTGGAAGCGGCGAAGTTGTTAGTGCATTGCGTTTCGAGAAGATGTTATGAACTTACCAGAATCGAAGCCTCCAGAGGAGATTGAGGCTTCCGACTGGTCCTCCACCGGCAGAATTGTAGGACGGAAGATCTTGAAGAGACCTTCCACCGGGTTTCATCATCCAGATCCAGCCAAACTGACTGATACAGGTTGCCACTGGAAAAAGAATGCAGCTGCGGAAAACAGTCGAAACTATCGAAACCATTGTGTTAAGAGTGATTCGTTGGGTCCATGGTACGAACGACCATTTCGGCTCTGGTTTGCTGTCGTATGCTCTGAGTAAAGCCAACAGCCCAAGAAACGAAGCAGCTGCTACGGCGAGGGAAATCAATCCATAAATCAATTCTCGGAAGATGAGCAGAGTGCAGGTTTGTGTCGTCTCTGATGATTTTGGGGTTGATGGTGCTTGGGTCGCTCGGTGGGCTCAGAGCCTTCCAACAGGGAAGTCAGATTCTCATTTGGGGGTGGCTTGGAACTGATTGATTCGGACGGGGGATCATCAGGCAATGCCAAATATGTGGCCATCATGAAGTCGCAAGGAAGCTTTCGGTCTAGTCCATAAGTGGTGAAAGGAATGATATGTGATCTATTCGTGAGAAACGTTAGTATAAAGCCACGGACAAGTAAAAGCCTGGGGGTGTACAGACAGAATAAGTAGTCGGTAAGCAGCTCGTCTTTGCTGTTGCTAGCACAGCCTGATCTTCTCGAGGCAGCCCACCATGGCACTACAGGGCAGACTCCCACCAAAAATAGGGAAGTCCTACGTGCTGTCCTCAGGGCTACATGTGCGTGGGGGCCATGTTCGATCAACGAGTGACTTGAGGATCAATACACCAATCGGCGAGCTGAGTACCGTAGGATTACCCTCGCCAGCGGCGCATGACCGCCAAAAGAGACTTTAGGTTTCTCAAGGAACCTGGCTCGCGAGGCTGTCATGTTGCAATACTCTTATCAGTTAGTAAATGTCGACATGTTTGCTACTAGAATTGTGGTTGGCTCTGGTGGGTGTTATCAATTCCCAATGGGGACAACCGTGTTCTGGTGACAATCCGGCCAATCATTCAGTGATCCTGGAAGCTTGCAGGGGCCAGTCACCAACATTGGGGCTGAATGCAATTATGTATGTAATTTGTCATGTTCCAGCAGCAGGCTGGCGATCTATGAAGTGATTGGGGCATGCAGCACGTTAGGCATACATCTTACCCAGTCGGTAATCGTAAGCATGATACAGAGGGGCATCGCAAATGCTCGAAGTCTAAACATCATGCTGAGATACGCTAGCCAAAATTTGAAATAGTGTGTACTGGGTATTGCGTGCTTTTGTAGCTTCCACCGCTTTCCTGGCAACTTTGATCTGTGGCCCGCTTGTTGTTAATCAATAGGTGTTCGAAGTTCGCGAGTCTTTTGAACTGTGAATCGAGCAGCCGTACATTCTCTTCCTACTCCGTCATTGGGCTGCCCGAGCAAACCCCCCTTAGACAGCTCCAACCTCATGCAGACGACCATTTCTGCTCATTGGAGATTTTGCTCCCACAATCCTCTATCTGTGCCTGTCTTCAATATTTGTAGTCCTTGCAAGAAACTCGCGGATTGGCTGCTGAAAGCTTGACCGAGAGAGTCGGAATTCATGCCGGTCGCCACCTGATTTTCCTTCTGTCATTGGCTTCATCGTGGAATAAGGCCGACGCAAATCTAATCGTTGTACTTGGTTTGATTCCATCCCAAGTCGCCGATTCAAGGTCCCTGTCTGCTAAACGCCGGGTTCGTCTCCATCGTACTCGAAATATGCCTCCTCAACGCCGCCCACCGTCCAGCCGTCGCACTCGTCTCCTCCGCGGCCGCATCTCCCATGGCGACATTATCACCACCGTCAACCTTGGCCGCAGGAGCAGCAGCAACCGGCACCGGCGCCGCCGGTACATTCGCCAGCGCCGCCATACTCGCCCCAAACCTCGCCATCTCCCCCCTGACAACCTTCTCCTTCCTCTTCAGCGCGCCAGGCCTGCTCTTCAAACTCTTGTGCCGCACTTTGCCCTCCCTCAGTTGCTCGAGGCTGTGCGCCGTCTCGCCGTCGTCCGCGAGGTCCGGCAGCGCGTCGGCGAGCGACTCCATTGTGGTCACGAGCTTCTTGGACGGGCGCCGGCGCTTGAGCGTCTTCTTGCTGCTGGCCTTGCTGATCTTGGAGACGAAGGCGGAGTGCTTCATCGTGCGCTTGTCTTTCTTGTTCGTGAGGAAGGCGTCGTCGACCTGAGCTTCGGCGCGGTGGGTTTTGTGAGGAGCGAGGGGGTGGATGTCGCCGCGGATTCGGGCCATGCGCTTCTCGCGGGCGGAGAGGGATGTTGGGGCGGTGGGAGCCTAGGAGGGTCAGCTTGATTGTGCGTTAGGAGATTTGGATTGAGGCGTACCATGATGGGTGTTTGGAGCTCGAAATTCGCGATTCGAAGGAGTGAAAATACGGTCGGCGCAAAAGTTGAAGTCGCAAGTTCGAGGTTGAGGAAGGCGCTGGTCAAAGTTCTGGACTGCCCAAGCTTTCAAAAATTCGAGGTGGGGTCCGACAAAAGCGGGTCCATACAAATCGTGGGGTCGGCGGTCGGGATTGGCCCCTCCGACTTTTGTATAAAACCTAATGCACAAATGCCCGCGCATGTGCACGACTCACCCCGCCAAAGCTGTCACGGCCCCTCCAAGAAAGAAAATGGGCAAAATCGAGGACCTGAGGCGGAAGGTCGCCGAAGCGGAGGCTGAGCTTCGAAACTTGAAAGAAGAGCTGGCACAAGCGGAGAAGGAAGTTCGTGACGAGCAGCACCCGCAACCCTGGAAATGGCCCCTCTTGGCGGAGGAGTATGAGAGATACGGGCGGCAGCTGATCATCCCAGCTGTGGGGGTGAAAGGTCAGCTTGAGATGGTGACATTCATGAAAGGACGACGCTAAAAATGTTGCAGGCCAGTTGAGGCTGAAAAAGTCCAAGGTTCTCCTCATCGGAGCCGGTGGACTGGGATGCCCCGCAGCAGCTTACATCGCCGGAGCAGGGGCCGGGACTGTCGGTCTCGTTGACGGGGATGTTGTCGAGGTCTCCAACCTCCACCGACAGGTGGCGCACTCAATGGAGCGGGTGGGCATGTACAAGGTCGACAGTGCCATTGCATATTTGAAAGGGTACTACAGCCATGACCTCCCTTTTCACTGCGCATCTAGTGGTTAACATCTCAGATTGAACCCAACGGTCACCTATCAAGCGCACAAAACACATCTCACGCCTCAGAATGCCGAAGAAATCGTCTCTCAGTACGACATCGTCCTCGATTGCACCGACCACCCGACCTCCCGCTACCTCATCTCTGACATCTGCGTTCTCCTCCAAAAGCCCCTCGTCTCAGCCTCAGCGTTCCGCACCGACGGTCAGCTCATTATCCTCAACTCCCCGGCAGCACCTCAGGGAAGCTTGGAGGGCGGGCCATGTTACCGATGTGTTTTCCCAAAGCCACCGCCGCCCGACAGCGTGGTCAGCTGCGGCGAGGGCGGGATCTTGGGCCCCGTAGTGGGTGTGATGGGTGTACTACAAGCCCTCGAGGCAATCAAGCTCGTCGCTGCGGGGGCTGTTGACCCCGAGGTCAAGGTCAAGGAAGCAGCCGCGCCCTCTCTGCTGATCTTCTCAGGGGCTGCCCCATCTGGACCGTTCAGGTCTGTTCGTATGCGCGGGAGGAGGAAGGACTGCTTCGCTTGCTCGGCGCAGTCGACATTGTCGTTGGAGACGCTGCGATCCGGATCTTTGGATTATGTGTCCTTCTGTGGTGTCACTGCTCCTGTCAGTATCTTGGGACCCGAAGAGCGGATCACCGCTACCGAGTATGAGCGTCTTTCCAAGGGAGGCTCTGCAAAGCATCTCCTCCTAGACGTCAGGGAGAAGGAAAACTTTGATATCTGCAGCATTGACGGCGCGATGAGCATACCGATCTCAACCTTCATGAAGGATACCCAAGTAACAAAAGACGGAACATCACCACAGCCCGGGTGGATACCGACAGACTTGCCCGAAGACGCACCCATCTACCTGGTCTGCAGAGTAGGCAACGACTCCCAACTGGCGGCAAAGCGCCTCAAGGACTTAGGCCTAAACAGCAACGGGAGAGTCATTCGTGATATCAAGGGCGGCATGAGGGCATGGAAAGCCGAGGTTGACCCGACGTTGCCATTCACATGAGAAAGGAGAGAAAAGAAAGGTCAACGAGGTTTTGGTTTCAATAAGTTGGATTTGTTCTGACAAGGGGGGACTGCCGTCATCATACATACTTTTCCCACGCGATACCCCTATTGCTACAAAGAGAGGAGGGCGGCCTACGCCCAAGAGCCATGATGAATCCTGATTAACCTTAAGAGATGAATACAAAAGTTTGTGTGCTGCCAAGCCGTGATGTGCCGAGTTGATGGTGAGGCCGTCGTTTACACAAAGGTGACGCGCTTGCGGTTGAAGGCACGCTGGTCCTTGAGCCATTGGCGGTAGCCTGCGACGCTGGAGATCTTCTCGCCGTAGAAATCAGGGACTTTGCGAATGTCAGCAAACAACCATCCGAGTAGCAGAGACGAGGGTAACATACCAGGGTTACCGACAGAGGAGACAGAGGGGTCGACGCGGTTCTTCTTGATGCGAGCAAAGAACTCCTTCTCCTTCTACACGCAAAATTTCATCAGCATCCCGAACATCAGATCATTGGGCGCGTGCCCCGCACGACTGCACATGAAAATACTCACCACCGTCATCTGGTTCTTCCACCTCTTGTTCAGCGTGTAAAACACAAGCGATCCCACGCTCGGCCCAATCAGCCAACCCAGCGCACCGAAGCTCATCGTCATAAGACCAAGCGTGATGAAGGGGTCCAGCGGCACCTGCGAGACCAGGGGGTCCGCGACGCCGGTAGCGAGCACGCCCGCCCCGCCGACGAAGGACGCACCGAACGTCACGACGCTGAAGCCCAGCTGCCACCTGCGGCGGGACTTGCGCAGCGCGAAGAAGGTGTTCCAGTCGAGCCTGTCGCCCTGCTGCGCCGCCGTGGGGAACGCGGACTTTTGCGACGCCGCGGGGGAGGTTGCGGAGGTTGAGGCATTGCGCTGGGCGCAGGGCTGGCGGACGACGCGGGCGAGAATCGGGGAGGAGGACGAGAAAACGGCGCTGCTGTGAGCGAGCGGCGAGGAGGGAGCGAGACCGATCGGACGGCCGGCCGGGGTTGGTGTCTTGGAGGTCGTCGAGTACGGGCATGCGATGGTGCGGGCGATGGAGGCGCGGGCGGCGCCCTGGCCGGCCAGGCGGAGAGCGAAAGTGCTCGTGGGAGTGAGCATCGTGAGCGTGTGCTTGTGTCTCTGCGTGTTTCGTGGTGATCCGAGGAATTGAATTGGGCGGAGTGGAGATTTTTTCTCCCGGTTGGTGTTTTCCTTTCGGAAGGAAAAGTGACGAAGCTGCTGGATGGATGGAGCTTGCGATGAGGTCAAGCTCGGTCCACAAAGATTTGACGCCCACCTCGAGCGCCTCTCACAGCAGCAGCCGCCCAGCCGCAGCTAATGCACGGGCCGCTTTGCAGCACTTGCTTCCCCAGATCGAATGATCCTTGTGGCTGGCGCGTTGGCTCTCAAGGTATCGGCCACCCGGGACTACAATAAGCCGACATGCTTTTGATGCTATAAAGGCATATAATACTTAAATCAGTATTATTTTTATCATCCTGATATTAGCCTTACTCACTTAGAGGATAAGTGTTTGATCTAGGAAATAAACTAGGAGATCTCGCTAAAGCCCGATTTAAAGATCAAGGCTGTAAACAACTAAACATTATGTTCTCGTCCTACTCTTTTCTTGCCTCTCTTCTGCGACATCCTCTTTGATAATTTTGCTCCCTTTCAAAACAGCGGTCGCTGGAGCCGGAGCACACGTTACGCGCCGTGACAGCAGTCTGACGATATTTCGCAATGACAAGGGCCATTGTAAGGCAGTTCGGCTCCCCGGCCGAAGTAGTCATGACCGAGTCTACCGACGACCACCAGGCCCTCAGTGCGGGCCAGGTACGAGTCCGGATGCTTCTCGCCAGCATCAACCCCTCGGATCTGGTGACAATCTCAGGCGCCTACCGATCCAGAACAACCTTGCCGTTCGTCCCAGGCTTCGAAGGGGTCGGCATCGTCGAGTCCATCGGGGAAGACGTATCTACTCTGCGGGTCGGACAGCGCGTGCTACCCATTGGAAGTGTGGGTGCGTGGCAGGATGTCAAGGTCGCAGAACAGCGCTGGTGCTTTCCAGTGCCAGAGGATCTCAGCAACGAGCAGGCCGCAACGGCATACATCAACCCGCTCACAGCGTGGCTGATGGTTGAACAGTTCGCTCCCACTCGACCAGGGGAGATGGTCGTCGTCAACGCTGCGACCTCTGCTATCGGGCAGATGATCATTCGCATGCTTAACCGTAAGGGTCTGCGGCCCATCGCCATCATTCGCCGAGCCGATGCAGCAATGGAACTGGACGGGCTTGACATCGAGGCCGTTTTGGACAGCTCTGAAGGGGACATACAGAGTAGAGTACAGGAAGTGTCTGGCGGGCGTGGACTTACAGTAGCCTGCGACGCTGTGGGCGGTCCAGAGGGTGACAGTCTGGCCCGCGCTCTGAGTCCTGGAGGAACGCTCGTCCACTACGGCCTGCTTTCCGGCGTGCCTTTGTCGTATCGACTGTACAGTGAGCGCCCTGATGTGCGCATTATTCTATTCCATCTGCGAGAATGGGTCCACGCCGCCAGTCCGGTTGAAATACAATCCGCCTTCGATGAGGTGTTTGGACTCATCCGCGACGGCACAGCAGCTTCAAGGGTGGCGCATGTGTTTCCCCTCACAGATATCCGCCGCGCATTAGCCACAGAGGCAAGACCAAAGCGACAAGGAAAGGTGTTTGTTACGACCCGTTATGCAGGATAACAGTTAACCGACCCACTTGGGCATCGAGCGGCTAGGACAGGACATTTGTATTGCAGGATCACGGGAACAACAGGGACTCGCTCGGAAACGGAAGAACTATGGTGCAAGTCAC